AATTTGAACTAAAAGTTACAGGATTAATTCTGTTAATATCTATTCTTATTTTTAAGGGTTCTGATGACTGCCTTGTGAAGATCTGGGCAACAGATCTTCACAAAATTTAGGAAAACAATTTCATTGACCTATATCAAGGTAGATAGATTCACATATACACCACATAATAGTATTTTGCATTTGTGTTTTCACTTATATTAAAATCTTGCTATATCAAAGTAATTTCCCTGGGAAGTTAAACTGGCAAGGCCATGATTGTAGCACTTCTTTGCTCTTTGGTCCTGTGTTTTGTATACCATAATCCTTAAGTAGATGAAGTAGGAAGAGGATGTGCTGTAATTTACCTACGCTGGCTGCCTCATAGCTAGTTCTTAGAATAGGGAAACCATGTATCCATTGATTCCACAGAATTTAAAATGGCTATTTCTGACACTTAAGCTAGAAAGTCATTCAGATTAGAAGTTATATGGTAGTAATTATGTGTTTTTAAATTATCAATCCAAGCTGTACTATTTAATAAACAGTAGTGTTTAGATAATTCCATTGCAAGGCGTGTGTCTTTAACTTTATGTGTATAAACATTCCTGTAAGTGATTTATTGCAAGTCATTAGGGGCTACAGCAGCTTGAGTAACATAATAAAAGTGTATTTCATATGAAGAAAAGATTGTGAAAAATACTATTCTTTGGACAAAGCAAGTTGATTTCACCTTAATTGCATTCTTGTTTGTATGGACATAAATATTAAGAGAAATAATTTTCTGCTGTTCTCTCATTTTTTATAGGCATTTCTATTTTAATTGCTACTGCATACCTGGTTGTACCATACTTTGCTCTGATTTTTCTATTTTTGCTCATTAAAGTTTTAATAAGTTTTAGTATGCTTTTCTTTTACAGTTACTCTTTGAAATTTTTAAGCTAGAGTCAGATCCTTAGATACAGGCTTTGAGACACCTGTGTTGTGTCTACACATAGTGATAACTGTCCAAAAAAAATTAGTAGGCTATAACTTGTTACTGTATTTGTTAGATACATTTTAATAATCAAAGGCAGAAGTTGTATTGTGCTGTAAGGCTTTTATATAATCTGCTTGGGGACATGGCTTCAGAAACCCAACTGCCCACATTAATGCAAAGAATCAGTTCAACTTTGAAACTCAGATCTATTCATAAATTCATTTTTATTTTATATAGGGTTTATGTGTATATTAACTCCACCCGGTAAAGGTACTCCTTCTGAGATGGGTAATCTGAATAGCTGGATGATTCACAACTAGCCCAGGAAATCTTTGGGGAGAAGAAAGCTGTCTGAGCCTATTTAGTCTGGGTGTAAGGAGAATAGGAATCCTAAAATATGTAGGTAATGATTTATGAATTTTTTAAGCATTCGGTCTGCTGAGCTGTTAGTAAGTACTTTCCATTTGTTACTGTATTGGTCCTTGCAACCACCTGTTAAGAGAATTATTGTCTTTTAATACACAAGCAGTCCACACCATTATCCAGTAGTGGTGAAATCAGCATTTGAATACCATCAGGACCCCTTCTTAATGTGCCAACTAAATAGTGATTATTCATTAATGGAATGTATAGAACTTGTTAAACCTGATTAAAATATTATTAAAATAATAATTTGTGTGTGTGTGTTAGGCACTGTGCTGACCACTTCGCATGGGTTAAACTCATTTCATTCCCCCCAGCAACTCTGAGATGCCTTCTGTTGATACTCTCATTTTTGCACAGAGGAGACTAAGGCTCATAAATGTTAATTTTATGTTCACCTGTTAGGTGGTGGCAGAGAGAAAACTTGAACTAGGAACTCTGAAGATATTTTAAAATATTTCCTCAAATAGGCATCTACAAATAAACTTTTTACCTGCTGGGTTTTTTTCTCCTTAGAAAACAAACTTTTTTTTTTGTATTAAATTCTTTTATTGGTACATTGTAGGTATACAACACAATAACAAACTTTAAAAATGACAGGTCTGTAGGATTATTTGCATACTTTGGTAGTAAGTTCCAACTCGTGTTTGCTCTTGTGGGTTCCATCCCCTTTTCTTAGTGTTATTTGGGATTGAACCCAAGTTCTTGCTCATGCTAGGCAAGCCATCTGCCACTGAGCCACATCCCCAACCCTTAGGGATATTTTAATAAACGTCTATTTCTTTAAGTGAGTTCTGTTGTACTTAGCTATGTCAGAGAGCCTGTATTAAGAAAGGCTGTTATAAATGTCAATTTAAAACAATTTATTTACAGATGTACTAATACCAAGTTAGTTAGGTTCATTCTCTATCAGTAAAAAAGGCTATCCTTATAGCTCAGAATGATATATGTGATAGATCAGAAATATCTATATATTTTTCTCTAAATTATAGAACCAAAGTCCTTTATGGACTGTGAAAGTTGATGCAGTGCATTTGGACTTAAAGTCCTAATTTTGCATTTCTCTCCTCTAACAAGTTGAGAAAAATTAGGTCAAAATGTATAGTAAGTAGTGCTTCAAGAATAATCAGTGTATTAGAGCAATATATACATCTTGTTACTTGTACTGGAGCTATTGTCATGGCTACTATAATTTTCTTTAATGTTGAATGTAGTAATGTTGTATTAATGCAATTATTGAATGTAGCTTATTTTTTTATAGATCACTATTATGAATTGATTTTATAGTTGACATAACCATCAGATAGCCTTCAGGTTTTCATAAGAATGAGAAGGATATTTCAGAAGAACATTTTATCACATAATATAAAGAGAGGGGTGAAAAATCTTTATATGTAATACTGATAAAGTTATTGATGATATGTACACAGGTAGCACCTACTTTGCTAATGTATTCATATTTTAAAATAATGTTTTTTACATATCTGTATATCTCTGTATTTTATGAAAAACTGAACTTGTTAAAATTTGATTAGAAATGAATGTAACTAGTATGTAACGTATGTAACTGAATGTCACATGTATGGTGTGACAGTGCCTTTGGGATTATTCCCTGTGCAGACTGTTGTGTAATCATAAGGCCCTATGAAATCAAGATCTCATCATGACACATAATGATTGTGAAGTTGCTTGTAGGAAGGGAGCCATCTGTTGCTCATTTAATTTTGTCTTTCTGTGGTTATTTTTTGAAACAGCTTATTTCTGATGTTTCTAGTCACTTGAGGATATTTTTAATTGTTTATTTTTTGTGTTATAGCCCAAGACCAGCAAAATTTACAGAGCGGCCTCGACCTGGGGTACAAATGATCTGTTCCTCCTTTAGTGCTGGTAAGATTGTTTCCCCTGTAATTTTCCACTTAAAGTTGTACATTAAAAGACTTGTAGACTACATTAAATTTTGGGGAAATATTTACTGTAAATACTGTAAATCATGTTTTCATATATATGCCAGAGCTAATAAGTAAAGAATGATACATTGATTTAGAAATATTTCAACTTTGTTAGAATTAAGTTTATATAATATAAATTATATGAATGTAATAATGTGAATATTTTGCAAATAAATATATACTCCAGATTGTTCATATTTGCTATTTAAAATAAAAAGTAGCTGTAGAGCAATGCTAGTATTCTAATAATATCTTTATTTCTGTAGTGGTGCTTTGAATGAAAGCTTTTTTTTTTTATTACCTGGATATTTAAACAAATTGAAAAGAAAATTAGAAACATGAGTAAATCTTGTACATAATGTTCCTGATATCTGTTTCTTCCACCTCTATTTTGTTTTGCTTTATTCATGTCATAATTGTGGATAGTAGTTATTATCTGAAATAAGGGATAGAAAACTGAAGTAAATCTACTGTTGCCATTAGTATCCAGACATACCAGTTTCTAAATTCTATATTTTCAGGGCTCTTGCCATAAACAGTTTTCCTTCTAGTAATAATGCAAATATAGACACTATACATACATTTATAGTATTCTGAATTACTGCTTTTCAAAGATAACTTGATTTTCTTTTAAAAAGGGAAAGTACTTTAGCAAAAGTACTTATTTTGGTATATATGTGAATTTGATACTGAGAGAAATTACTGTTCTCAAGAAGGGAATAATTTTCCTACCCAAATAAGTTAATGCTGTGTAGAATTTTTGCTCTACAAGACAGTCTTAGAGTTTGGAGAATGATTGTCTTAGATTGCAAAGTTTGTAAAGATAAGTTACTGTGGGAGTTGGACCCAAAAATTTGATAGCATTTTTGACAAATGGTAAATGAGACAAGAAGGATATTAGCAGTTATAACTGTCATATTTTCATGTTGGTAAAGATGACTGATACAATTTTAACCTGGTGAAATTGCGTGAAATAATTTTTAGAACAAAGCTTTAGTTTGTGTAAACATTGAAAAGTCTAATTGTAGTTGAAGGTTATTAGCAAGCTTCTTTTTATAATTGTAGTTAGATGTATTACATGTTTAGGATAAATATGAGTGGTTTTAGAGTAAGATTTAATTAGTTTGTGTATATTACAGTATTGTTTCCATTGTACTTGCTGTTCACAGATTTTAAAGTTACATTTCACTCATAGAAGTTTGCTGTTATTTTTGATAGGTGGAATGTTTCTGGCCACAGGAAGCACAGATCATATTATTAGAGTTTATTTTTTTGGATCAGGTCAGCCAGAAAAAATATCAGAATTGGAGTTTCATACTGTAAGTATGGGTGAAAGGAATTAGATGAGTATAATTTTTAAAATTTAACAGCTTATATTCAGCTTTTGCTTTTTTTGTCTTTATATATAGGATAAAGTTGACAGTATCCAGTTTTCCAACACTAGTAACAGGTAAAATATTTTTGGCTGATTTAATTCCAATTTTATTAAAATGAAGATAAGTTAAGTAATCAGATTTTAGTTTTAGTTGTGTAGAGATTGATTGCCTAGAGAATATATTGAACAGCTAAATTGAAAAGCCTTCATATGCGTGTAAACAGGTGTATATGTCTTACTTGTAATATTACTTTATTTGCATACTTTTAATCATGGGAGCTTATTTCCTCTTTACATTTCCTATATCTTTCCTATATATATTAAAGTATAGAGAAACTTTTGGTAGAGATTGGAAAGACAGACTACTTTATAGATGATAAAAGATGATATTGTGTAAATTCTCCACGATCTTGTTTTTAAAGGAAATAAAGCTTCTTGTTACATTGAGCTAATCAAGTGCTTCAGTATTGACAAAATCAGTATTTTTTTTCCATTGGAAAATGTCAGTTCTATTTCTAGGATAGCCTGGAATCACGTTTGAATGTTTTAATACAGGTTTGTAAGTGGTAGTCGAGATGGGACAGCACGCATTTGGCAATTTAAACGAAGAGAGTGGAAGAGCATTTTGTTGGATATGGCTACTCGTCCAGCAGGGTAAGAGATCAAATTTTAATTTCCACGTACATTATTTAAAGTACATTATATTGTAGGTTGAAGTGGCTCTTGCCTATAACATCTTAAATCATGTTAAAGTGATTGCTTTTCTACAGTAAGTAGAGCCTGTGTTGGAGATGAATGTTGTTTTTTATATTTCATTGCCACATATGAAAAGACCTGCTGAGTTAATCTCTTTAGTTCAGTAATGTTAGAGGGATGGCAATAGTACTTAAGGAATACTTGTGCCTTTTGAAATGTTTTATTCAGAAATTAGAAACATACCTGTCCCATAGGGACAGTGGTTTTTCTCCCTCCAAGATAAATTATATGTAGTAACTGTTATTTTTGGTTTTATTATTTTTCTCTACTTGTATTTGTATGTAGTTGTCTCATATGGGGAGGGTATGTGAGCACCAATAAAGTAGATGAGTCAGCAGCATGGCACAGAGGCCCTGATCTAGATAGGTTTATTGCAGGGCTGTTTATCCCAGGTTATATTTTCTTAGTGCCTTGTGAACATTAGAATCCTGGAAATCTTGGGTTTCCTGACTCAGTACAGTGACTTTTGCCATCATTCTGTGTTGACTCAGACTACTCTCAATTACTGATAAATGAGATAGATTTTTAATTAAGTCATTGTAAACAAACACCTTCCTTTTAGACAAAATCTTCAAGGAGTAGAAGATAAAATCACGAAAATGAAAGTAACCATGGTAGCTTGGGATCGACATGACAATACAGTTATAACTGCAGTAAATAACATGACTCTGAAAGTTTGGAATTCTTACACTGGTCAACTTATTCATGTCCTGATGGTAAGTAAAAAGACTTAATGTTATTACCGCCATTTTTTTGTGTGACTGAAGCTGACTGCACAATGTAGTATTTTCTTTGAGGAGTAGTCTTTTTATGTTAAAAACTTTTGCTTGCTAGAATAACACAGTTTTGTAGGTGATTGGGAATAATTTAAAAATCCAGTTAAACAGGTTTGTATTGGAAACACAATGTAGAGACTTTCTTGTTTTGGTATGTAGAGGTACATTCATAGTATTCTCATATTTAACAAAATGATAACAAAGCCCTGAATAATGCTCTTAGCTCAGTTTTCTTGCTATTTGGCTTTTTGGGGGGTTTTTTTGGTACTGGGAATGGAACTCGGCACCTTGCACTTACAAGGGAGGCGGAGCACCACTGAGCTAAATTCCTGGCCCTTCCTTCCTATTTGTACATTGATAAATACAAACAATTTTGCTAATTTAATCCATACAACTCAGTTTTAGAAGTGTGGATATGTTGGTATTTCATGAAGCCTTTTTTTTCTTTTAAAAATATTTTAAAATTCATAACACTTCCATATATTTTAGGGTCATGAAGATGAAGTATTTGTTCTTGAGCCACACCCATTTGATCCTAGAGTTCTCTTCTCTGCCGGTCATGATGGAAATGTGATAGTGTGGGATCTAGCAAGAGGAGTCAAAATTCGATCTTATTTCAATATGGTAATTATCAGTCTCTTGTTTTATACCTGTTAAAAGTGTTGGGGACTTTTTAAAAAGGTGCTGTGCATATAACAAAGGAAATCCACTTAAAAATTGGTACAGAGACCATAAATTTCTACCAATAAAGAATTGTATTTATTCCACACTTTTATTGAGATACTAAACTTTTAAAAAATTTTGCATAATATAGCGCCTGTATATTCTAATAACTGGTTTAGTTTTACTCATTTTAGCAGTGAAGCCTTGACCAGAAATTCACAAGTATGTAGTATAGCAAAGAAAAAAATATTTGAAAAACCATTTGAGTAAATAACAAATATATTATATTGTATTTTATTAATAGTCACTTAGATCAATAGAATTTGGTTCACATATATTGATTTTGATCAGGTGTACTATATTAGATATTTACATGGGCTCACATCCTTTTCATGCCAGATTTTGTTTCTATACAGCTTTCAGCATTGCTGATATTTGAATTGTAGCAGGTTAATTTCACAGCTTACAAAGCAGTGTCATATTTCTTAAATACTGCAGTTTATTTTGTCACTTTTAAATATTTTATCATATATTGGGGTATATTTCAACAAACAAAGGAAATGTATTTCCACTATTTTAATGTTTACTTTTAAAAATAGTAGAAAACTTATAATGATAAATCCTGAAACTCTACAGTTAATAATTTGTAGTCAGAATTATTTTGCAGTACACATTAGTTCACAGAAAACAATTGTTTGTTAAATAGATGTGAAAAATGTACGTGAAAATGATGCTATGTTTGATTGATAATCAGTAAAATAACTTCTGCATAATAAGGCAGAAGATAAAAGTGAAGGAATTAACTTTGTCTATCATTATGGCTATGTCTTAGTATACATGTGGTAGGAAATGAGGATTATAAAATTCTTTTCTAAAAATTTTGGGCACAATTATTAGTGATGGATGGATTTCCTTTGCCATTATATAAAGGGTTTTTTTGGTTGGGTTTTTTTTGGTTTTTAAGCAAATCTAAATACATTGATAAATAATTTTTTTTCTCCTTTTCTTTGTTTTTGGTTTGTTCTTTTGTGCTATATCTGTTAAATAAGGAAATTAGTTATTTCTCAATTTATCTTTATAGTGTAAAGGGAAAAGAGTTTTAGGCTATCCATATATTAGTGGCTTCATTTGGTTTAATTTTTAGATTTTCAAAGGATATTATTGTACTGGTAAAGGGAAAGTTTTGTCATAATTAAAATACCACTTTCACCTTTCAGTTATAAAGGTGAATTTTTCTTTATCAGGTAAGTTGGTCAACTAATAGTCTCCCTTTTCAAAGTATAAAAGTTTTATTTTGAGATTTAAGTGAATTACTCTTAGATCATTACAAATTTGTGATACAACCAGAAATCAGCCATAATACATTGTATACTCTTTGAAATTAGAGAAGAGATTAGCTACTTAACTGCCTTAAAATTGTTTATTATTTAGAGTTGTAGATAAGGAAATTTTCCTGTTCTTTCCATGGATAAGAGAAAAACAAAAGACATTAGAAATAAATTTATGTAATAAGTGGAATTGGAATAGTATCCATTGGCTCTTCAAATTGTAAGAAAAGGAAAACTAAAAAGAATCTATCCTACATTTGAAAAGTAGAAAATGAACCACCTTTTATTTAAATAAAAGTATTCTCTCTAGGTTTTTGAATGATTTTTAATGATTTCCAAAATGCTTTTACATGTATTATTTATTCATTTGAGTCTAATGAAAGTGTTGTAAGTAGATTTTATTAAACCTGGTTTTATATATGGATAAATATACACTAGAAATGAAGTGCTTTGGCCAGGTTTTTACCTAGATCACATAGGTATGATATGGGCACTTGGAGTTTAATACCTTATTTCTGTGTGTTGCTAATTTATTTTTACCGGTAAATCTAGTCATGCTTCACTTTT